TATATGTGTGCTTTAAATTTAGTCTGAATGCCTTCAACTTTCTGGTCCAGGATCTTGCTGTATTAACCAGCTTACCAGCCTACCAGCAGTATCTGCATCAAGTCACAAAATTTCCACTAGGCTAAGCTAAACTATCTGAATTCCAGCTATTTCCCATCTTCAGTTTTGTGTCATTAACTGATTGCTATTGGAAGGAATCTGGCGAGAATTCACAGCGCTTTTCCCCACAGTAAAGGAAGAATAGGAACCAGTTCCTCAGAAGGGGTCTGAGCATTGCTGCCAGAAGAGCAGGCTCCCACTGAAGTTCAGATCTGTGGATCTTTCACTATGATTGTGCACCACTTCTAATAGTCATCAGGAACAAAAATGATCAAGCAGCATGTTGTAACCAAAAAGAGGACATCAGTTTAGGATACTACACATATGACAATAAAATCTGCAGTATAACTTGTGTGCTTCTTCCTAGCTGACTGCAGAAGCCTGATATTTTTGGATCTGTGCTCTGGCATCTTACTTTTGTTTTTTTGCTATTTTTCATTTTAGTCATGTGTAAACTTTTTCAACGATAACCCCATTTTTTTCAGGCCACTTACAGATGCATGAAAGGTCTGATCTCTGTGGGGCATCTTTGGAGACACCTTTTCAAAGGCTAACATGAGATCTCATTTACCAGTTCTTAATGCATTTAATGCGTCACAACGGTTTTGTCATCTTTCAGATCTTTCATATGCATTTTTTCATCCTGTTTCAATTAAAGAAGCTTGAATATTGTACGCCAATATTTTCACCCTTTAATCAAAATTAAAATTACAGAAAAAAAATAGTATGAAGCTTCATTTTCCATAAACACAAACGATTCAGCATTAAATATGCTACTATCTTTTAAATTCTTCATTGATTTGGTCTCAAAGTTCCATTATTTTTCCAATGATTTATGTCACACTGACAGAATTATAACTACCTGGGTTATTTCTTTTATTCTCTTCAAATATGAGCATGCTAACCTTCTTTTCCTCTGTTGGAACTTCCTCTGATATATCGAAAATCGACCTTATTAGACAATCTCCTTAACTGCGTCTTTAAACCTGTCGGACACAAGTTATCCAAAGCTGTTAATTTAAAAAACGTTTAATTTCCTGTTCCAAAGCAGAACAGAAACAGCTTCCAAGTTTCTGAAGCCCTTACAGGTCTCATGCCTTCAAATCAATCCAGAAAGAACAGGCAACATTCAGAACCTCCAAAAATGAGCCAGGGTCCCCATCACTTGGTATGAGTCACATGGAGCAGTGATGGGAATAATTCCCAACTGCATGCTAGGAAGAGAGGGGGAGAAGCAGATTCTCATTGACCTATGAGATCAGACAGCTGCTAAAACATGATTTTCTTTGTTTCAGCAGATGCGGAAACTGAGATATGGGAAACCTTTGCAGTGCACACAGGGCTATATATCAAAGTCAAGGTCAGAAGCCAGAAGGTCTGAACCCCTCCAAGGCTAGCAGCTAAAGGCAGCACATTCTGCACAAACCAAAATTCCAACCAATCAAATTAAAAGTTCAAACAAAAATCACAGAATCATAGAATTGTTTGAGTTGGCAGGGGCCCTTAAAAGCAATCTAGTCCAACTCCCCTGCAATGAACAGGGACACCTTCAACTAGATCAGGCGCTCAAAGTGCCTTGAATGTCTCCAGGGATGGGGCATCCACCGCTTCTCTGGGTAATGCAACTGCTTGTATTAGCTGATTATCTTTCCATTGGAATCACAAATGATAATACCTATGGGGAGTAAAAAAATTAATTGCTGATTTTTTTTTTCCTTCCCTTTCTTTCTTACAACTTCCTCAGAGGGATTTTTTGATTTTACCTTTTTTACCTTTTTTTAAGCAGTTAGGAGACATGGGGTTAGTATGGTGTGCAACTATAAGTAATTTTTAAAATAAAACTGAATATTGATTTTCATCTGTCTTTTTATGGTGATAATTGCAAAAATAAAAGTAACAGACACACATACACAAATTTTGTGACAGAAACCTAGAAAAACAGCCAGGTTCATTGTATGCTAAACAAGGCTGTACTGAAGTATAGAAAGTAAAACAATCACATTTTAAGTTTGCTATAAGGTTGAATTTCTGAAACATGAAAGCATGCACTAGCTTTAAATAATTATGATGTCAAAGGAAAAAAAAATAAATTAAAAATTGAAATAAACACATGATATAGTCTAGTACTAAAACACTTGCACTTCCACATAGCATTTTCTGAGATACATAGAAGTAGGAAAGCAGCTGAGACCAACTAGTGTCATTTAAAACAAGTTATAATGTTAAAATATGGAATTGCTTTTGGTCAGGCTAGCTAATACAAGTTATAAATTTGAATTCTGTTCCTTTATGCTTAGTGCTTGGAAATGTGGAATGACCCAGCAACAATAAGAAATCTATACGAATTGAAAGCTGTATTTGCTTCATTGTGATTTAGCATTTTAAACCACTCAGGCAAGAGAAAGGCTGCATTAGGAGCACATCAAGAGATTCATATTCAGAAGATAAGAAATAATACCATATCTGTGGTTGCTTTTATAATGTTAATTCAGCTCAGCTGAGTCCCATTCCAAGCAAGGGGTCATTTAATGAGTGTTATTTTTCAGAAGACCTCTGTCTCACTTAGATGCAGGAATGGGTAGTTTGTGTTAAAGAAGACAATAAATTTGAGGAACACAATCCCTTATTTTTTTTGTAGAAATGAAATTAACATAGTGCATGTGGTAGTATGTGCAGATGAGGTGCTGAAATTGCCCAGAATTTGATCTCTCTCATTGTAAAATTCCAAGGTCAATGTTGAAATCGTTTAATCAAAAATTAAACAAAAATGTCACTGTCTCATTTTATATACCCCCTCTTACATCCTTGCAGCTCGATTTGGTACATTTTCAAACGCTTATGGATATATTTTAACATTTCACCATTTGTATGTTTTGAAGTCATTCCAGCTACCTACAGTCAGAGGCCTCTGACTTACAGGATACCTGCTCTCCATCTAAACCAAAGTGGCGGTGCTGATTTGACCTTTCCCTTTTTTACTGTACTTGAAACTTAATTTCAGGAAACTAAGTGCACTTTGAAAATACCAATTATTGTGAAAAACCGAGTCCAATGTTACTCAGTTTAGAACATGCCACCCTCTACAGAATTTCATTGTACCGTCCACATTTTTTCCCCTATGACTTTCATTTTTATTTATAAATTAAAACATGGGTTTAAATAGGTGACTCGATCAATGTCAGCTGAAAATCAGTGTCACTGCCAGGAACTACACCTGACTCTACAAATCCATACTCAGTTCTTTAGTCATAGTAAAATTTTCCCTTTCTTTTTATCATGCTAGAATTCAGCCCTTACAATCCTACCTGCAGAAAATTTTGTTCAGCCTTGTGATTTTTTTTAAAATTAAAATAACAAGATGAATGCTTTTCTGATGGCTCCATTCAGTGAAATTAAACACTGACTCCCCTCTTGCTTTCAGCAGGATGCATCTCAGCAGTATCCACTTCTCTCTTGCACGGGTTTCTCTTTAACAGCATTTTAAAAGATGTACATTTTACTTCAGGTTTCCATTCTGCATACCTCATCAGCCATAGGAAGAACTACTTGCTTCTTGCACTTGTTTTCCTATCGGGGGCTCTGCCTGCACAGCATCAAATCCTCCTAAGCCTTCAGATGGCTCCCAGCATTATTGATAGTACCCTTTGCATAGCTCTGTCTGAAGATCTAAGCTATCATTCTAACCTCTGAATTGAAGAATTAAATCTTTTTGCAATAATTTTTCTGTTCTACAGTAATACAGTGCTCTGTAAAACTTTTTCTCTCACTAATACAACATCCAGTGATCCAGAATATCCTGGTCTAAGGGAGATGTTGGTGTGGAGCCATCTGCTGGTTGAACGGTTAAGTATTATACAGACAGGTAAAAAATCATTTGACCACGTAATATTGTCATAATTATGAAAATAGCAGTGTATGTTAATAGATTAGCCCTGAAGTATCTGATGTTTCCTGTGTACTGGTTCTTAGGCTTTAATACTCAGTGGGCTTAATGTGTCTCAGCTCTTAAAATAAAATCTCAAAAATTTATCTTAATTTCATTTTAAAAACTGGAAGGGAGATGGATAGAGGACAAAAATGCTCTCTCTCATGTATCAGTAACATGATCTCATGTATCTCATGCATCAGTAAATAAGAATACTAATGCTCATTTAGTAAATTAATCTAGATAGTGAATGTTATTGGTGTGACAAACAGGACAAATAACAATTATTGATTTATTTGATGCCTATTAAGGTTTCATCCTATGTTTCTATGTGTTGGTCTAAAATGGCCATGGCTCATCAGGTATGGTTTTCTTGGGATTAAAAAAGAAGTCTCAGTCAATTTTACAATATTCTTCAAAGCTTTTTTATTAAAAATAAATTCAGACAAAAAAGGCTAGCAGACATATAGAAGTCTAAGGCCTTCAAAACCAGAAGTTCTAATAAACAAACTTTTAAGAACTAGAAATAATCCAGCCAACTTAGAGACTAAAAGTACATTATCAAATGATGCTGACAAGTACATATTTACTTATTTATGATAATACTTATATTCTGTAATTTAGTTTTATTTCTGTTATATGCAACTTTAATGGTGTTTTCAGGAGCAAGAGGGAGCATTTTATGGATTTTACCAATTTAAAGGAGATTATTTGCATCTATTAAATATGTACATCTATGTATATGTATGCATACTAACATTTACATACACACAGTCCTGAAACTAAACGCTTGTACATACATATTCATATATGTATACGCACATATTTGTACATTTGCATATATACAAATACGTATATACGTATACAAACACATATTCCTATATATGACATGTAACATCCAAATCTTGACCTACAATCTCGGTTAAAGAAAATCTTCTATTGGCTGTCAGGTTGCACTCGGATTAAAAAGTTGCCATCATTCACATTTACTCTCATCAGAACCATCAGCAGGAGAAACTTCCAGCAGTAGCTGCAAGTAGCAAGTAATTTTATCAAAAAATGCAAAATGCAATTTAAAATGTACAAAAGGAAGATAAACAATAAGACTCCCGAGCATAAACAAAAAAGCATACAAATATTGCATATTTGGAGACCAGACTATAGGAGCTAAAACTAAGAAGAATGACATGGCCACCATCACAAACGGAACCGGTAGAAAAACCTGTAAGAGAAAGAAAAAAAATTAGGAAGTAGCTGACCAACCATAGTTTCATGTATTGTTCATTACAGTAACAATGCATTCTTTGCCACACCAGAATACCATCTGTGTTGCTCCAATCTTACCCCAGGGAAGACTTATCTGACATAAAATTGTCTACAACACTTGTTCAGGCTCCTTCTATCACTAAGGAAAAGAGATAAGCAACACCTGAAAAACATTCACCCACATAATAGTATGGATACCTAAAGAAAATCCAGCACCTAGAGGAAGCTTTCACAATTAATGCTAATTAATTATGTATCTCCAATCTAGTGTTCTGACAGTTAGATTGAGATGAAATCAAACCTGACCCTAATGGCTGTGGTTGGGTGAAGAAAAATGAGAGCAGACAAAGGTCTCTTAAACCAACAACTGCCAGCCTGGATCCCACATGGTTCCTGTCACTGCTCCACATCAATATGGTTCCCTGTTCCTCATCTGCACATCTCCCCAGTGCTGTGCATATTCATTTCTTGTTTTCAGGTAAGCTCTCTGGGGCAAGGACCATGTTTGCTTTTTTTTAATACCTTTACCCTACAGTATGGAGCAGATTTGTCCCAGACCGCAAGTAAGGTTCTTATCATTGTGATTAGCATTTACATTTCTGTAGTAACTATCAACTTTTGTCTTGCATTTGTTCCATAACTTCTGCATGATACCCATGACTCATAAAACCAAAAGAATATATGATAACTTATTTCCAATTACTTTGTATGGTCGATGTAGGTTAGGTTCTCGGTATCGAAGTACAATCAGGCTTGCACAAGTCAATCCAATCATAAGCCAGGCAGAAAATCCAAAGTAATTTGTTAACATAATAAGGTCAGAGGGGATTATAAAAATGGATGCAATGATGGTTGAAAAAATCAAAGCTGGTGCTGGAGTACAAGTATGGATGTTAAGCATGGATATTAAAACAGGTAAATGTCCTGACTGACTTCCAGCATAGCTTAATCGACCTAATGCGAACATGCTGCTGTTGAGGGCGCCAAATATCGAGATAGCAACGGAGAGAGGAATGATCCAGGCAACAGAGGGGATCACTCGATCAGCCCAAGTTACTGCCACAGCAACTGCAAGAAAAAAAAAGCATCAGTAATGGTGTAGGTACCATGCTCTGAATTTCCAACAGACTCAAGAGAAAGGAAACTTAAAATGCGTGAAATAACAATTACTTATTGGGAATGTCTAGTTTTTGTTTTGTTTTGATTTTCGTTTTGTTGAATAATCAAATGAGTCTATTCTAATTCTAAAAGTATTGCATTCAGGAGCTAAAACTTGCATGGTAGCAGCAGTAGGTAGCAGCAAGGACTCCTGATCACTACAAAAGCTCCTGGGTGAAGCTGCAATGACCAACAGGAGGCAAAGTACTGAGTGCCCTGTAAGCATTATGGCTGCATCTCGGCATCATGAATAACAAATGCAAACACATGAGCAGGGCTACCTGAGTAAAGAAAATGGAGGCATTAGTCTCCTGCCTGACCACAGAGGTGACATGACCACTGGGTAGGAGGAAACTGCAACACAACTGCATGTATGTAGAAAGACGGGTCAGAAAACATGTTATTATTCTGATTTTGCTTTGGGTACAACTGGGAAATGTGAAAGATTATTGCTGAACAAGTGATTTTCCATACTTCTCAGAAATTGGTGATGGCCAGTATTATATTGAGGACTAATTCTTAGCAGGCCTACAACTGAGTGCCATGAGGAATATATATGTCTTGCAGTGATTTGTACAGCATAAAACTCCTCAGAGTAGGGGAGAAGAAAACAACAAAAATGTAGTGACCAATAAAGAACTGCAGCAATGTACAGCAATGTTTGAAATGAGAGCTATAATTTTAAGGCCATCTCCTCAGCTGATGTAAATAAGCACCATTCCACCATCATTTTATGAACTACTTGTGCCAGCCAGGCAGCTGCTCGCTGATGTTCTGGTATCCACTGCTGCTTTCCTGCCAGAATGGATTTGTAAATGCCTGTGTCTCTCCCAGCAGATAGCCCGATTGTGGGCAGATGACAGTATGGGGCTGCTGAGTGACAGCTACACCATCATTTGTGTTATTGAGTTGTTTTCACAGGAAAAAAAAAGAAAAAGAAAAAAGAAAAAAAAAGTGATTGTGGGGTTTGGTTTTGTCTCTCCTGGACAAGGCAAGGTCTGACAGTTCAGTGTCATTAGACTGGGATTTTAACAGGTGCTGTTTGGACAACCAAAGAAAAATACAGCTCCTCTTGGCCCTTTTTATACACAATTTATTGGTACTGCATCTGAGAGAAGCTTTACAGAAAATGGACTTTTGAACAGGGTCTTCCAAGAAATGAGAATACTTACCATGAATAACCCCAAATGGCTGTTTTCCTGTCTATAGCCTTTCCTATATTACTTATCATTAGAGGTAACTTGGAATGATTATTTGTTCCCATCTTAAACAGTAAGGACTTTAGCCTTAGATACTGTGACATAGGAAAGGAAGGAGGAGAGAGGATTAAAACTATAGGAAAACTAAATCCCTACCTATCAAACAAGGACCCAATCATCACTTGATTTCCATGTTTTAATGCACTTCTGATTTCTTTTTAGACAGTACAGGCGTAAGTCAAAATTTTGACACCTACTATTATTTCTCTGTATTCAGTCCAACTTATATCATGCAGCAAAATTAAACCACAATTCTCTTTTAAAACTTACAGTGAAACTCACATTTCCCAATTGTGGAGTTGGGTAATCCAGTACACTGACAACAAACAGGCACACTAATGGAACTCACCTTTCTCACAAAAATATCAAACTCATACCTGAGGAGACCATTTCCTTTGGAGTGAGGACAGTCAGATATGAGATGTTTACTAGTAAGTAAAACACAATTACTGAGGGAACAGCTGTCATCACAGTTAAAGGGATATTTCTGCTAGGGTTTTTCATCTCTTCTGAAAAACACAATTAAATAATAATAATATTAAAGCAAGCAGTGTAACTTCTGTGTTTCAGTGGTGAATCTACACAGAGGTTGACATGACTGACACAGAAATCCTCTCCCAAGCCCTAATCATGTTTCCTAAACTACACTGCTTGTATGTTTCCGCAGTAGTTTTCAAATAGTTTATCATCAAAGAGTCCTAAGTGAAGTATTTAGAACGTTTTTTTTTCCTTTGTCTTTTTTTAGCTACAGGTGTCTTGGGAAAAGAGAGACCTGACAGACTGATAAAAAATGACAAAGGACTAATAAATTTTCTCTGATTTGATTAAACAAATACATGGCTGTACATTAGAATACTGATTTGGTAATAAGTTTCCAAATAGCCATACTTTTAAATCTAAAGATTGAATGTGAGGCTGTAAAGTCACTTTATTTATTCTTTCATCACTTCGTGAGCCCTGATTCCAAATTTTCATAGAATCATAGAATGGTTTGAGTTGGAAGGGACCTTTAAGATCATCTAGTCCCAATTCCCTGCTATAGGCAGAAACACCTCCCTTTTAGACCAGGCTGCTCAAAGACCCATCCAGCCTGGTCTTGAACACCTCCAGAGAGGAACACCCACAACAATCCTTCTGGACACCTGTTCCAGTGTCTTGTTATTCTCAGTAAAGAATGTCTTCATAATGTTGAATTTAAATCCACCCTCTTCCAAGTTATACTCTCTCAGCTTGTCCTCCTAGGGAAGTGCTTCAGCCCCTCTGATCATCATTCTAAGTGTATTTTCCTATTCCTGCCCAAAACATTTCTCTTTGCTCTTACATCAGAAGATACAGAAGACATAACGGGAAAGAATGAAGGCATTGGCAAGGAGCAGTAATGTAGTGGCTTTTAAAAAGGGCAGTTGCCAGCTGGATTCTGCCATTATCATTTCCATGACAAAATTGGTGGAGGAAAAGTAGTGTTCAGTGCTAAACCTGGTATCTTAGCTTAAAACTACTCAGCCTATATCAGTATTGATATAGGCTAGTGAGGGAAGGTGAATCATTTTTCTCCTCAAATACTATCTCTGCCTCCTGCATCAGCTTTGAGCCTGCCCTATTCTGGGGTGCAGTGCATGGACTGCAGAGAGACAGAACGAGCACAGCAGAGAAATGCGGAGCTTATTGGAGAATTGGGTATTTATTTGAAATGTAAGAAATGCATTTCATAATTTTGAGCACAAAGGGAGACAATCACCAAAATAGCTGATTTAAATTTGTCTTTCCATTTGTTTCGTTGCTAGCTACAGTCCCAACATCCAGCTGGCATGGGATCCTTTAGCTAAGGCTCACAGGAATGAAAGTTATTGTTGAAGAATAGGAAACTCAGTTCAGGAGAGGTCCATAGTGTAGTTGCTACACTATCTGTCTAAACAGCTGTGCTACCCAGTGGGTTGCATTTATCACTAGTGTATTGCAATTGTTACTTGTGGTAACTGATCAGAAAATAGTACTTCTGTGAACAATTTTTATTTCCTTGTAAAAATCCGAATTTTTGCCTTTAAGAAAACCCTAAGATTTCAAAAGTTATATTTTCTGCTATTTGCCACCTTTTTTAATAACAGCACTTTCTAAATGCAGGATTTTAATAATAACAGTCAGTTTTTAAAATATTAACCCAATTTTCACACTGTTCTCACCACTGAACTTTGTGTTACACATTTCACACGTTGGGCTTACTTAATGTTTAAAGTTTCTACATGTGGAAGAGGTCAATGGATGAGTAAGGTTAAAGATACAACAGCATCATCCATTTGCTTACAACTTAACTCCATAAATCTAATGATATTATAAAATACTGTTCACTCAATTTATTGTGAAGCATGTAAGTTACTGTGAGCATTCTCTCTTTGCAATTTTCATGAAAAACTGCTGTTTATTATTGTTACCTATCACTAGATATAGAACAGGACAAGTAAATGAACATGCCAAAAGATTACGCATATTTAAAATTGAATATAAGTTATATCAGAAGATTTATACCACTTCCCTTACATTCTTCTACATCTGCTCTCAGGAAACTATCACAGACAGGCTACACTGTATATCCCTTCAAACTGATATATTTTAATACAATTCAGTATGAATTTGTCCATGTACAAATCAGAGAAGGTATAGATATTGATATACAATCATCTTTTTGGAACTGGTCCTTATTGAGGAAATATGCTGGCAAAAATCTCTTAATTGAAGCATTCATTTGTAAAACTCAAACTCCAATTTTTTAAGATATGAAAAATTCTATTTACAAATGATATTTTAAGTAAACCTCTTAAATTTCTCTTGTAGTCCTTTGTAAATGTTACTTTCATTCTGAAGACTACACAAGAAGCAAGGAACATCCTTGACAGTAGAGCAATGCCTCTTTCACCAGCCCTATCACACACAAGACCAGTGGACAGTTTGTACTACAAAAATGTGCATAAACCTATGAAGGACAGACAAGTTCTTCTAACACTAGCAGAGGAATGTTAAGAATTGCTATTGCAGAATAAAATCTAAAGAAAAAGAGCAAGATACCTGCCATATAATTGAGGGACCACCAACCACCATACGCGTACAGTCCTTGGAAAAAGGCTTCAGCGATCTGTGATGCGTTGGGCATCTCTGAGCCAAACATGTCCTCAAACCTGGCGAGATTCTCCTTCCTTCCACCAACGAGCAGAACTATTCCACCGACAGCAATTACAGATAACGCCATCATCTTCAGGAGAGTGAACACCATCTGCACCCATGTAGCCAGTTTGACACTGCATCCATTCAGAATCCCCAGGGACCAGAGGACGGCCAAAGCCAAGCATTTCTTCAGCACTTCTGGTGCAGGGCAAATGCCGTAGAAGGGCTGGGTGGCATATTCAGCAAATAGCAAGGCTCGGGCAGCATTTGATGCTGGCTTGGTAAACGTTGATGTCCAGATGAACACAAAGGCAGGTAGGGATCCAAGGCCTCTTTTAATATGGCTGTATTCCCCTCCAGAAAATGGCAGAGCAGTGCCCAGCTCTGCGTAGCAGAGGGAGCCCATAAGAGAAACTAGTCCAGAAGCAGTCCAGATTGTTAATGCAACACCAACATTAAGCAGGGAATGCTTTAACACCCCTGTGGGAGACACAAAGATCCCTGCCCCAACTATTGATCCGATAATAAAACTTACCCCATCAAAACAACCTATTCTTCGTTTGAGTTGCATCTTGGTCTTTTCTTTTCTTTTTACATCTTTGGGATCATTGCTCTTTCCTCTTCCCATTTTTTTCTTATTTTTCACAACAGACTCTATGGCTTCAGTGTCAAGATTACACGTATTTTCCTCTTCCTTTGTTCTTAGTTGATTGTCATGGCCCTACTTGCCAGTGAAATGTTTTGAGAAGCCTGGCTTAATCATTCAAAAAAGAGAGCATACTTTGGGTTTGGCTGTCTAGTGTGTGAAGATGATTAACTGGTTACTTCAAGGAATGCTGGTAAATCATGGACACGTTGGTTTAATATGTACTTCAGAAATTTGGTCTGGGGATATCTTTAAAGAAATTGGCATAACAAATAATACACAGTAAACGCTTTTCAGTTCCCTGCTGATTTCCATCAAAGGATTCCCAGACTCTTTACATATGCAGTATGTATGAAAATTCTGTGAAGTAAGTAAATGTTATCACTGTATGAGAATTACAGAAAAGAGAAAGTGGGAAGGCATGGCAGCATGAGGAAAAAGTTCAGCCCTCTGTATGCTGTGGACAGTAACAGAGACAGGAGTTGAACAGACAGGTATGTTTTTCCACAGTCAATATATAAAAATATATATAACATCACCTGGGAAGAATACAGGGATCCATCTGGACTTGGGCCAGAGGAATCCCACGCATCCATACAGACTGGAAGGAGCAATCCGTAAGAGCAGCCCTGCAGAGAAGGACCTGGGCGTCCTGATGGACAAAAAGCTTAACATGAGCCAGCCATGTGCTCTTGCAGCTCGGAAAGCAAATGGTATCCTGGGCTCCATCAAAAGAGGGGTAGCCAGCAGGCACAGGGAGGAGATTGTCCCCCTCTACTCTGCTCTTGTGAGCCCCATCTGGAATACTGCTCCAAGTGTGGAGCCCCCAGTACAAGAAAGACAGGGAGCTGCTGGATGGGATCCAGAGGAGGGCCACAAAGATGATCAGGGACTGGAGCATCTCCCAACGAAGACAGGCTGAGGGAGCTGGGCTTGTTCAGCCTGGAAAAAAGAAGGCTGCAGGGTGACCTCATTGCAGCCTTTCAGTACCTAAAGGGAGCCTACAGAGGGGAGGGGAATCAACTCTTTGAAAGGGTAGATATGTGTAGGACGAGGGGAAATGGTTTGAAGTTGAGGGAGGGAAGATTTATGTTGGATGTCAGGCGGAAATTCTTTACAGAGAGAGTGGTGAGGTGCTGGAACAGGCTGCCCAGAGAGGTTGTGGATGTCCCATCCCTGGAGGAGTTCAAAACCAGTTGGATGGGGCCCTGGGCAGCCTGGTCTAGTATTAAATGGGGAGGTTGGTGGCCCTGCCTGTGGCAGCAGGTTGGAGATTCATGATTCTTGAGGTCCCTTCCAACCCTGTCCATTCTGTGATAGTGTGATTCTGTGAAAAAGGACAATGATCAGTAGTAAACTGTGTGTTTTGCCAAATCCCCATCAGTCCCAGAATATAATGAATTTTATTTATGGTTCTCTTCCTGAACACCGCACTAGAGAGAACGTTATCAGTTCATTAATGGTTTTTATGGAGTACTCAATATTACTGTACTACTCAAGAACTGTACAAGCACTTACTAATATTCAAACACTGCTGCAAGGGAAAGGGGGGTATATATAGCATATATATACAGCATACATACAGCTTCTGAACAAAATGACAAAGGTTGAAAATTCCCAATAGTTTGGTGTCTGCCGTTTAAGATGTGGCCACTGATTTTTCTAAGCATTCAACAAGCTGTGGCATATTTTATGTTCATAATGCAGAAATTCATTCAGATGCGAGTATGCCATTTGTCCCAAGAAAAATGCACTTATTCTTTTTCAGGGAATATAGAGCAAAATACAAAGAAAGTGGGAAACTGAGAAATAAGTTCAGCACATACCTAAAGGCGCAAGATTCTAACTTTTCACCAGTCAACTTGTAGAATCAGCTTTGTCCAGAAAGTCAAAGCTCAATAACGCTCGGAACAAAACTCATGGCTTTTATATGGTTCAGACTGGTCTTGAACAGCTGGACATTCACTGAAGTACAAAATAAATGTTTCTGACATATAAAGTTTATTTAATATGCCATCATGTAAAAGACCTCTAGTTAAAACAAGCATAGTCAAGTTGGTTTTTTTTGGTGGTTGGTTGTTTTTTTTTGTTTGGTTGGTTGTTTTTTAATTTGTTTAGTGACTATTTCTAGGTCACTATATAAATAGTGACTATTACAATATTCTGAATCTTTTTTTTCTTAGTTTGTCAGTATAGTCATCATTAGCCGTCATAGAAATTCACTGTATGTATTAAAAAACAGTCAGATTCATTACATCACAACAGCTCACAGTGCACTTGACTTAAGAATCATTGAAACTACACTAAAACAGACATGGGAACTAAAACTTCAAGCCAGAGAAGGAATAAAGGCATGATTCAATGTGACTGTGGAATACCACTGCAACTGTGCATATTCTGCATTTCCTCAAATCAGGTTAGGCATCTAGAAAAAAAAAAGGACTATGGATTCAGGTTCTACACCTAGAGGAAAAAAAGAAATAAAGAAAGAAAAGACAAAACTGAGAAGTAACTCAGGTGTTCTAACATAAGCCATGAGACATATTTTAGACGTTTTTTGATGCATCAAGATATCTTCACAGATTTGAAGAATATGCCAAAAGCTCTACAGGATTAATTACCATCTGGAGCACCAGCTAGAGGTTAAATTGGGCATCTAAAGTGGCATTAGCTGCCTGCTGTAAGCAACCAAATGCCACTTTGTTAAGCAACACTGAAAAGCTTGTTAGAGTGCATTTATCCATCATCAGACAGAAACTATGCAGCACAGTCACTGACAGAATCCACAGCTCAGAACAGCATTAAACCAAAAGACCATTCTTCCATCTTCTGCAAATCACTGTACCATTCATTATATTTTCACCTTTGAATAAAGGTCAAGTCTTACAGACTTCAAAAATTCTAGTTATAAAATTTTGCACGCATTTTAAGTTACATTTATTCAATTTATAAATAGCAGTAAGTTTTTAAGTTCACAAACTCATTACTATGAATAATTCATAACAAATCAAAGTATTTATTCACCCATACTAAGGAGATGGAAATTAAGTGTGAAAAATGGTTTTAGATGGCAGAAATACGTAATTTTTTGATACCTAGCAATCCTCAACTTCTTTATTTTGGGTGTTCTGCTACATACAGCTGGAATGAGATTACTATTTTAAGAACAAATACGTATTACATTTAAAGGAAAGTTAAAGTATGGATGCAAATGACTTTGTTATACTGTTCATCCTAAAGTATGTTAATTTCTGGTATAATAGAGCATTTCCAAAATCTCCCAGAAGCAGATTAATTAGGATTTGTTACTTCTTGCAAAGCTGCCTGATTTCAGGAAACCCTACTGAGAGTATTACTTTCTTGTGCGTGCTTCCTGCCTAGCTCAGATAAACATTTGTAGAATTGAGTGGAATGCATTTGAGATTTATGCAAAGTGTGCTTTTCATTTTGGTGCGCTGTTGCCAGAGTAGAAGAAGGTAAGAGCAGAGATAAAGACAATATTCCTACAAATCCAACAAAAGCTGAAGCTCTGGAAATAGTATGTTCACAGAAGCATTACCAGGGGAGAACCCAGTGAAACACTGCTGGCTGTGCAACAACAGGTATTTTCCAGCCAAACTCTTTTTTTTTTTCCTTTTTTCTTTCTTTTCTTTCCAGTGCTTGCGAAGCACACCATTAATATTCATTTTCAAGGTTTTCTGCTGAAGCTGCTGACTTCTGAGAGGATAAATTGACACAATCTATATGATTATTTCAAGGTCTCACATGTCAGCATCTTCCACTTTACACCTAACTATGTATACCTGGTCAGATTCACTTTGATGACATTATCCACAGACTCAACCATTGAATATAAGGCAAAAATAAACTATTAAAACAATCTAAGCTTGAGATTCCCTTTGGAGTTGACTAAAAGTTTATATCAACATCAAAATAAAAGGTCTTTGGACTACAATTTTTATACTCAGCAGGGAATTCTTGTGAATCCCAACTAGAGAGTTCTTTTAGATGGGAAAAGTAAGTCAAGAGAACGCTATATAAAAATTAAGATTGATACTGAAACTTCAGCTGTTCATCTCTAGTTCTCCAAGCATTGAAAATTTTCCACTTTAATTTTCTAACTTTCCAAATTCTTCTAGCCTTCAATTTCAAGGTTTTCACTGTCATGAATGTCAGCACTTGTCACGACTCATCTCTTTTAATCACTGAGGTTTCTTTAGATTTAAGAAAAAGACAATACTGAAGAGTTATGGAAGAATCCTTCTGCTGTCTAGAATGGATATGCATTATCTCCTGATTGTAATTAACTGAATTTCAATGTTCTTAGATAAGGAGTCTGTAATCATCTCGCAAAAATGTTGTGTGTGTACTCACTAAGTCTTTCCTATGATTCACTCACTGATTAGATGAACCAGAAAGAAGTCCATCTATCTAAACTATGCACAATTTTAAAATACTTATTTAGTTCCTTTTCAATTAACTTCTCAGGATTTCTACCACTGTATTGATTTAGTTCTGCATCTTCCTAAATCCCTTAAGAGGAGAAGACAGAGAAAAAATTAGAAGTTAATTTGCCTTTCAAACTTTCAGTAAATGTTCATCTGTATTTTCTCTGAAGAAGCTGCTGACATTCAGCAAGGATAAACATACAGAAGAACAAAGCAAAGTCTGAAGAGAGTTTCAAGGGAAAAAAAAAAAGCAAGCATATTCAATCTTTCTTGGCATATGTCTGCAAGTCATATGTTGTATTTAATATAAATTACAAATTTTATTTATATTCTTCCTTCTTTTCTCCTCTTCTTTAGCTCACCTGTTTTGGAGAACATGCCATTTTAAAAGTAGTTTTCTGTGTCCTGCCATCTGGAAGGTGCTCAATGGCTATTCAAAGATTCTATCTAAGTCACATTAGATATAAGCCAGTTCACCACCTGCTGCACCAGACCCCCATGCTGCACAGGACTCCATGCTGTATTCACAATCTA